CCTCCGAATGAATAATTAATACACCAATACCTCGCTTTGCGTCGTTTCGTTTTGCGTTTTTTCGAAGTTGCGTCGCTGCTTAATTAGTACTAATTTTCACTGTGCGTCGTTAGATTTTCGAGGTTGCGTTGTTTTGGGTTCGAGTCTTTAATTTTTTTTTTGAAATTTTCTTTTTTTTCTAAAAGATGGCAACACTTTTGTTTCTAATTGCGCCATGCCATCAAAACACGGGGATTCCCTTTCTAACTAAAAATCAACGCAATTTTAATACAGTTTTATTTTCACTTTGTTTTGCTAATTTTAGAGTTCAGTTTCAATTACGTAGTGTGTTGTAATGTATGTACTTTGTTCAATTTTCTTTTTAAAAAGTAGTATTTTCGTAACCCTGGAACCTAACTTCGATCTTTACATGGTTTGCTATAGAAAATCTTAATTCACTTTGCGTCGTTTCAATTTGCGTCGTGTTTTTTTGGAACGTAACCACGACGCAAAGTGAGGTATTGGTGTATATAACAACGATAAAGAATAGCGTCAAGTGGTTCGCCATTTTTATTCAGAAACCGTTGCATTGAACGTTGCAGTAGGAATTGCTTTAAAAATTCAGTGACAAATGCTGAGTATCCAAACTGTGTTCACTCGTATAAAATAATTTTGGTTAACTGAGCCATCAGACGCAAAGGAGGTAATGAATATTTGCTAACTTCACGTCGAGTCTACGGTTAGATATGCACCGCGTTAAAATCATTTGGTAACTGTTTATGACAAAGTGAATGTCGTGGCGCTGTGAAAAGGTGAATTGAGGAGGAGAACTTTTCGTCGGAAATAGCAGCCGCCTCCTCTTACCGCTCGCCCGTGCCGTATCCAATTTGACGTGTAATTAGCGAGAGTTGCATTACGCCGAGTAACGTTCGCCGATGGTGTTTTGTTCGATTAATGCCAGCCCTCTCACCGGAAAAATTAACCGTATCAAAGAGGTATAAATTGCCCCGGTTAGCCTTTCATCTCGCGAATCGAAATTTTCCATTTTTCGATTAAAAATCCCCCACGGGGGGGCCGCCATTTTGTCTCTTCCCTTTGTCATTTAAGAACCTTCTAAACTCGTAACTACGCTTTGCAATTTACAAACCGTAGTTCTATGAAACGCCCACTTGTTGTTCATTCCGATTCACATTCACGTGTATTGGAAAATAATTTCATAGCGAGAAATTTTCTTAAAAGCCTGAGAGAATTAGGTTAGGTTTGAAATTAATTCCAGGAATTTTCATCGAACGGCTGATTAGCGATATTAAAATCGTAGGCCTGATCTCTCGCGAGCTTATTATATCCTTAACGCTGCTAATTAGCAGTCGCTGTTTATTTAACGAGATAATGAGCGCGCAGGACACGACCGTTAATTAATTTGTTCGTGCAAACTTTTGTAGAGCTGCTTAAACGCGGATCCCGACGACGGTAAGAAACTCTTCTCTTACGTTAAGGATTTGAACGGTGCATGTTTTTCTCAGTAGTTGCGGGGCTCGTGCTCTCACCGTAATAAAAGCTAAATAAATTGACGGGAAACAGGGCCGAGCGCGGTGGGGAGGGGGGGAGGTGGTGTGGCGAGTGGTGAGAGCAAGCAACGGGCTTGATGGATGAAGACACCCGGCTCGAAGGAAATCCAATAACAACAAACCGTTTCCTACAGATTTCCGTGTGCAGACCGCGGCGTCAGCTTTACGCCGTTACGCGTCATCGATCTGTTTTTCTTATCTCTTATCGGCCGCCGCATATGTTCCGTTATCGCAAAAACTTTTCTGCGACTCCCTTGTACAAACTCGGCCGAAAGTTTTAGGAGGCGCAACTGAAATATCGTTAATAATCCGGGGATTTTATTGGACAAAAATTTAGATGACCGTTATATTTACTAGATGGTATATAAAAAAAATTGCATTTATTAGATAGTTATTAGTATATAAGA